GCTCTTCTTAGGCTCACCTGAATCAAATAATGATGTCAAATCATGTCATTAGCAGCACTTTAGAGAACTTGATTGCACACTGAAGTTATTCAAACTCTTTGTTCAGGTGTGGAAGCAGAGACTTATCTAAAAAGAACATCAGACTCTGAGGGGAGGAATTGAGGAACCTTGCACCATGCTTCACTTGATCTGTTCACCATATCATTGAAATCTCTAAGCAACAAATAAAAATCTGATCTAAAGGTAAAATGTGTTACATTTTATTCCCAATATTTGAAAAGAAAAAAAATCAATAGTATTGTTATATAATGAGATGAAAAGTACAAAGTGCATTGGTTTGGTAAACTACAGTTGGCCTGCTTGTCTAGATTAAAGACAACTGGAACCAATTAATTTCTCCCAATGAGGCCTCTGCACAAGTTTGTCCATTATTTGGAATGTTTTCAAGTAGGGACACTTGCCTTAGAGGCAGTCAAGTGGTATAATATGTAAACCTCCAAAACATAATGTCTCAAGGATCTAATTCATGACATATTTGGACATAATGGATTAAAAATTTTCACTTCTATTTAAGTCCTTCCTTACTGCCAATTGCAGTAAACAGTGGATATATCTACTTTCTCTCGGCACAGGTTAATGTTTTAATGTAATAAAGTACCGTGCTGACATAGCCCACCTGACTGTAACCTGTATAAATCACACCTCGGGAGCTAGGATTGGTCCTTTGATATTCTCCTCTTCAACCTGGCATGTTCAGCAAATTGACTGCTCCATAAGTCCATGCTTAGTATTTTTCTGTAGGTCTAAAAAAAGGGGGGCAGATTTCGTTCTGCTATAAGCGTCTACGTGTAACTAGAATTTAAGAGCGTACCTTTGTATCCCTATGTGGTTTGCGTTACCTTGCCTTCTTTTTTTGCATTAGGTTTGTGGAGCATTGGAGGGTTGACATCTCATCCACTACCAGCACTGACTGGTTTGTGGGCCTTTTCTCTTCTTTATTGTTTTTTTTTTTTTTTTTTGCGGATGAGTGTGGAACCACACGGATTACTAGGGTAGAGTGACTAGGGCTCATTCACACTGCAACCTGAAGTGACCCAAATCTGATTTTTTTGCCCACATGGGACCTTGATCTGATCTTTTCATAGCTGTCTGAACAACACAGATCCGATTTTTCCCAATCCAACCCAGGACACTTGGCTATGTGGTCCTGAATCCGAAACGAATCTGATCTTTTCAAATGCGACCTGTCTCTGAACGGCCAGGTCGGATTCATACAACCTGAACGTCATTAATACCCGACATGGTTCACTATTCTGCTTCTTGCTACACAGAAGCGGCAAGAAAAACAAACACGATGGCGGACGATGATACAGAGAGCAGTATTTTTTTTTACTATCTTGAAAAGATTGAGGTTTTAAGATTTGGAAAGATTGCAAAGATGTGCTCCAGCACTACCATCCATGTTTACTTCCGTAAACATGTGGCGTAATTGCATCCTCTACTGCGCATGCGGGACACTTAACCTGTATGAATGCAGTTTACACAGATCATATACAAGTTGCATATATTTGGAAATATGAACGGCAATACAAAAAAAAACGGATTTCACAAAAAAATCGGAATCGAGCATCAAGGCCTGCAGTGTGAACATAGCCTAATTCGGGAAGCTGGGCGACAGAATGTCTGTGAGGGGCTCCAATTCAGTCCCTCGAGGAGAAGTGGAACCTCCCTCCGAGTCTCCTTGCTCATGAAACAGAACCTCAGAGTATGGCAGTCCACTATGGCTTGGGGTTTCTTCATCTCCCCCTGCAATGCTGGTCCTCCACATGGACCTCCTGTTGCAGTCAGGTCATTGGGCACAGCTCTTTTCCACTGCTGAAGAGACACCGCTAACTGGCATGGTGTGGTTGCTGCAGATGATACCCGATGTTGGACAGCAGACACACAGTGTAGGGACAACGGGTCTTACGTGGTTCTTTGGCCCCGGCAGAACATTAAAGGGCACATCCAATGTTTTTCTGATGCTGGACAGGCAGTGTCAACCGTAAAGGTTCATCTGGCAGCTAATTCAGTGAATCACTGCCATATATGTGGCAGACAGGTGTGGGGGGCACTACTCATCAAGGACATCCATCAGATAGGACAGAGGTTTGCATCGTCCAAAGAAAAGCCAGTGACTACATGGAACATTGCAATGGTATTTTGGTCCCTTTGTGGGACACCCCTTCAGCCAGTGTATGAAATCCCACTGAAAATGCTGTCTCTGGAGAAAAAAAAATGGTTTTCTGAGATGTGGCTAAGTACGTGACTGAGCTCTATGCTTTTGCTGTGACCACTACCTGTTTGCATTTGAAGGTAGACAGATCCAGGAATCTGGCCCAACATTACATTGCTGCCAAAGGTGCTTCTCCTGGGCTATATGAACATGGCCATCAAGCCAGGTGTACACTGCCCTCCCCATTCCTGTTTAAGGAACAGAGGCTGGATAAGTTACGTTGCATCGTTGCACAGCAGCTAAAAATACAGCTGCTATTTTTCAGTTAGACCAGTTATTTGTCTGTTATGTTCAAAAACAGAAGACATGCACTTTAAAAGCAGAGGCTTTCACATTTTGGTTGTTGATAATACTGCACTGACATCTGTGGTTGCAGCTGCACCCATTAGCTTAACGTGCTATTCCGCAACAAGCACAACTGACTTAGGCTGTTGTGAGAGATATACCGCTGGGGAACATTTGTGTGATCTTTTGGCATCTTGGGCATTTCTATGCACGTTTTCACAGTTCTACCACCTCTGCATTGGCCACAACTTTATTGAGCAGTAGGTGAGTGCCCTGTTCCTCATGACATGGGTTGCATAAGTGATCCATTTTGTTTATTGCCACTGGCAGTCAGGAAGGTACAAAACAGAGCAGTGACAAGTTACAGTGTAACTAAGGTTCTGTGAAATCTGGGATAAATGACTCACACTGATCACTTGATTTCTCAAAAGAAGATCCCAGGACATCAACTATAGCTCCCCTGGTATTATTTATACACCTAACTTTCAGGTGGGCTATGTCACTGACATGACTTTTAATTAGAATTTCAACCTGTGTGGAGTGAAAGGAGACACATCCACTTTGTTTACAGCTACTGGTCCTCATCCAAGAATTCACAGAACCATAGTTATAGTTTAACTTCAGATTTTGTTCAGTTACAAGACAACCTTTTGAACTAAATCATTGCAAGCTAAAAGCATCGGTATATGTAGCATTAATGTATAGTAGCGGACATCTGAAAAAAAATCGGACAAAAGATCCGTCAAAACATTTAAATCCAGATGTTTGGGTGTCAAAAATACTTTAAAATGTGTGAGAAAAGCTCATAACTCGATGTTCCTGAATTGATTGCTACAACTTGAATTTATTATTTATTTCTTCCCCAATTGTAAGGCTGGTATAAAGACGCAATAAGCTGTCATCAATAAATTAAATTAAATGACTTTAAACCAACAAAGAAGCAAATAAATCAAATAGGTTTTTTTCAATGAAATATGGAGGATATCTAGCTAGTAGTACATAAAAAAAACAAAAGACAAGTGCCTGTGGATGTTGGATTTCTTTAACATTTAGAATCAGATATTTTGTAGGAATAGCATGAAAAAGCTCATTTGCAATTTACAAAACCATTCAAGTTTCTTTCTTGTGTATTATGTGACCAGGACATTTAGGAAATAACAAAATCCATCCCTACAGTAGAGTGTTTTTTTTTTTTTGCTGCACCATTGGCTGCAAGGACAGTAACCCTGGCAGTATTGTGCATGTGAAAGAAGGTTGTCCAAGAAACCTGGATATTTAATATATTTAAAAAAACATCTGCTGATAGAAGATTTCACCAAAGCTCTTTAAATTATTAAAGGGAAAACAAGCTGGAGTTAACTGGAGAAAATAACTATTTAACAAGTTTCTCAAATGGTCAAAAGAGGACATTTACTTCTTCTGTCTGATGGCTTCAGTGCAGAAGTTCCTTCTATCGTTTTAAGTTTTACAGATCTTGGATGCATGTCTACTGAATCTATTAGGACGTTTTTTCATTGGGATTTTTTGCCACTTTACAATAAAAATACTGGAAACAAAAAAAATATATTTTGTCTGAATTTAAATTTAAGAAAAAGAAAGTAATCCATGTTTTTGTAATAATTATTTTTGTAATCTAATCAACTTATTTAATTGATCCATTTATCATCGACAACATGGAAATGTATCCAATGCAACAAAACAGAGATACACAAGAATATGATTTTCAATGGATTTCATTTATTGGGGAAAAAGGTTCACTTCTTTGAATCTAAGAAAAGATGAGCATATAATCCTCACATCCAAATGAATTAATTCAACCTGGGTGTTTAATTTTAGTTTTTTTTTAACAATAAACCACATTGATTTTACACAAATTTGAACAATTTGCAATAAAAACAAAATATGTTCTTGTATGGAAACCCTGTTTTCCCATTTTATTTAAAACAATTTCAATAACAATCTTTATATAAAACAATAGAAATAGAAATGAAAGAATCCCACTAGTCTTTAAAAAACATTCAATCTAAAATAGTCAAAAATAAAACATTGTTCTTCTGGGGGACTTCAACGCTCAAGTGGACCAGGACAGTGAGACCTGGAGAGGCGTAGTTGGGAGGAATGGGCCACCTGACCTGAATTTGACTGGTGTTCTGATTTTGGACTTCTGTGCTTGTCATAGATTGTCTATAACGAACACCATGCTCAAGCTGAAGGGTGTCCATATGTGCTCTTGGCACCAAGACACCCTAGGCCGTAGTTTAATGATCGACTTTGTTGTTTCATGTAACCTGCAGCCGCATGTCTTGTACACTGTAATTCACAGACGATGTTGTGTGGTGATGAGCAGGCCCAAGTGACTAGGGACGTCTGGGCCTCCCTACTGAAGCAGTTACCCCGCTACCCGACCCCGGATAAGCGGAAGAAGACGGATCAATGAAAATACATTGTGAACATTTTATTTGTCCTAACAGCACATGAAAAACACCATGTAACAGGAACAGTGGTAACAGGTTAGGGGTTAACATCCGACAGTGGGGCTTCCTCCTGGAACCAGTGGGTTGCCGGTTAGAGCCTCAGCTCTGTCAGACATTTTGAGATTTGCTATGCTTCATCCTCCAAGGAGATTTTTTTGTGGCTTGGTGATAAACAGATTACTATTAACTTAGGAAACAAAGATGCGTGTGCTTCGGTGGTGCAGTGTTTAGTGCGCAAAACTCATGTATGGAGGCCTTAGTCCTTAACGTGGCTGACATGTGGTCACTGGTCCTATGCAGCATGTCTCTTCCACGCTCTATTACCCCCTTTCCTGTCTACCTATTTTACAATAAACCATCCACTAGTGCAATAAAAACCTCAAAAAACAAAGAACAAGAGTACACCCCTAAATATTTACAAAGAATAACAAAAAGAACATTTCAACTGTCAAAGATCCTAACTGAATAACTACTGATAAAAACCCCTTTTTCTGAAGCTGCTTGGATCAAATTATAAATAAACTACAGCTATTTTTTACAGTGTGATTTTCTATTACTATCTGTTAACACTACTAATTTCTAATATCCAACAATAAATGATTGCCTGTTTTTTACAAATCTTATTTGGAAGAGAATACACACAGCTGAGAAAGGAGAGTCTCAGCTGTGTAGATTCTCATGTGGACGGGTCCATTTCTCCCTTCAAATGGAAGCGCTTTACATCTTTTTGACCCCTTAAAGCTTTTTTTTATTGTATTTACAGATTCTCATGTGTCGCAACATATGATCACTTCTGCTGAACGATTTCTTACACGAGCTGCAGGAGAATGGCTTCATGCCAGTGTGGACCTGTTCGTGCCTTTTCAGTTTGGATGAATTAACGAAATGTTGTCCGCACGTTTTACAGACAAACGCCCCCCCGCTCCTGTGACTCTTCATGTGACACAAAAAGCTACGTTGACCTCTGAAATATTTGGCACATTTTTCACAATAAAAGGTCTTCCTGTCTCCTTCGATCACCGGCTGTTTGCTCAGGGGCGCCGTGGGGTTAAACTCCGTCTGGACGTCGCTGCTCCCAGGACCTTTCTCACTTAAGTGGATTTTCATGTGAGCCAGCATGTGGTCCTTTCGACTGAAGCATCGACTACATATCATGCAGGTAAATGGTTTCTCACCTGTGTGGACCCTTGTGTGTCTTTTAAGGATGTAGGATTTGGTAAAATGTTTCCCGCAAGTGCCACAAACGAAAGGCTTGTCCACTGAACGAGAAAAGAAGCTGCTATGTTGACCGAGCGTTTCTGTGTGGATTCTCATGTGGTGGATCAGTTGGCTGTTTTGATTGAATAATTTCTTACAAAAGCCACATGAAAACAGGGTTTTACCCGCATGGGTCTCCACATGTCTGGTCAATTTCCATTTAACCTGAAAGGTTTTCCCACAAATGCCACATTCAAAAGGCTTCCAGGGTGCATCAACATTAGACCCCCCCTCTGACACTGGAGTGAAGTCTGTCCCAATTTTGTACTGTTTTACTTCTGGCTTCAGTTCTGCATTCTTACAATCTTCTGGATCTGATTCCCTACTTCCTGGATAAAATTCCTCCTGACAATCAGAATAGGCGCGAGGCTGGTTCAGGTCATCGTTTGTTTCTGGATAACTAACGCTGCTATTCTCAAGAAAACCAGGGTATTGTCTCAAGTCAGTGTTTCCTAGTTGCTCACAGCTAGAAGTTGGCATGAAACTGTTTGATTCCTCCTGTTCTTCCTCCAGCGTGCCAAATAAATTCTCCAGCTCCTCTTTGATTTGTGGTTCTGATTCCTCCTGATCCTGACTGGAGTCCCCCTCTAGCAGCTCTGTAGTGGTTCCTTTTTCCACATAGACCTGTTGCTGTAGAAGATCTACAGAGGAAAAGAGAAGCAGCAAATGACTAATTATCATCTTGAGGAGAAATAAATGTGTGATATTTCCTGGACCGTGAAAACCGACAAGAAACAGCCCTAATCAAATAGCAACTAGATATATGAGCTTATGAAATACACGTACAAAGTATCACCACCAGCATGGTGTGAATGAATAAAATGCAACTTTTAATGGAATAAAAAAGAAAAATAAAGTACGATTTCAGAAAAGAACTTTGTGTAGCATCTTGTAGTTAAACTTTGATAACTAATCACAAAAATCATTTACTAGGGGGATGCACCATTTAGGAATTTGTTAATGCAATTTCCATAGGTTTAGGTTTTCCCTTTACCTGCTTAGGTTAATGTGATTAATGTCAAATGAATTTGAGCTTCTGCACAAAGTGCACCGTAACAGGCTGTCAGTTAAATGTGCCGGGAAGGCGTAGCAAATGACAGCATATGTTCAAAGAACAGAAATGTTTTTTTTCTTCCAATTCCTAATCTCTATCAGCAGAAAATGGCATATCATATATGGTGCTGTCCTGTGGTACAAACTTAACTTACATCTGTACTAAATACAATTCAAACCCTAAACTTCAACCACCAGTCCTACAGGCGACCCTCAGCTTTAGTTCTGAAACAGAAGCGCGGACAGAGCTGAAGCTAAACTCAGAGTTAAAAGCACACTTGAAGAGACACAAACTGTACATGTTGCTGCAGAAATACTGACGGAGATTTGATTTTGGAGGAAAGCTATTCTAACTTCTGTTAAGAGCTTTAAAGGTATAGTGGAGGAAGTTCTTTTTCTGGGTGGATCATCAAAATAAGTGGTCCTCCTAATTGTCAATCACTCTGGTGATATATTTACATAAGGCTATCCTACGTACTCATCAACATTTTCACTTACTGGTGGTGAGCCTGACATAGTGAAAAAATTGCGAATCTTCTTTTGGAAAGTAAGCTTGTATGATTAATGCAAAGAGCAACTTTTAAACGGAGCGTGCACAAAGAGAAATGGGTTCACGCATGCTCTTGCATGCATTTGATAGGTGTTCCCTCTCGGGAGCAGGTACAGGGTTGTGCATGTATTTGATTTTTATTTTTTTAAGTGGAGAGAGTGGGTCTTTTCAAAAATTCGCAAAAATCCTCCACTATACCTTTAAGAAAATAGTAAATATGTATTTACTAAAAATATTAACAAAGAAGGGTTTTTAAAGTGGAAGTGTCAGTGTTTCTACCTTTTTCAAAACTAGTATTCAGCATCGATCCATTCGTCCATTCCTTTGGTTCCTCTTCTTCCTGGAACCTACAGAATTCCTCCTGTTTAATCTGTCGAAGTTCTGGTTCATTCTGGTCCTCGCTGAAGTTACTCTTCTGGTTACAGAATGGCTCCTCATCAGAGACTTCCTCCTCTGTACAGATACTATGCTGAGGGCAGTCTGTGAAATTAAATGGATAAGCAGAGAAGTAGGTAAGTAAATAATGTTTATTTATAAATGATTTTAGAAGATAAAAACTACAAACTGATGTACAGGGTAATAAATAGAAATAGAAAACAAAAAGTTGAAAAAAAAATGCTTATGAAGATTCTCAGTCATCCACTGACTTTTACGGATTGAAAAAAAAAAAAACTTTTTAGTTGCTTTTTTAAATGTTTCCACAGCCATAGGGAGGGATGAAGCAGGTTGTCTTGGGGCTAAAGCAGATGAATTAGTGTCTTGGGTCTTATAATGATTCAACACAGACTGGAAGCTAATGAAGAGCAGATAAAGCCAAAGTGATGTGGGCTGTTCTAGATGAATCGATCAAGAGTCAGACAGCTGAATTTTGTACCATCTAATGTGTGGCCAAAGCTGACTGCTGACACAAGTAAAACAGAATTGCAATAATCGTTGTGAGACAACCTGGATGATCATTTCAAGATCTAGTTCTTGACACCATTCTTACTAGAGCTTTTTCTAATATGATTAGGGCTGAAACAATTCATCGGATTAATCAATTGTTGAAATAATTGTCAACTAATTTAGTAATCAGTTCATCATTAAATGGAGTGTGGAGACTAAAACATGCCTTTAGCTGACACAGCAACCCACTTAGAGCAGTAATTATATGAAAATTGTATAAAAAAATATATATAAACTTTTTGCTGAAAACCTTTTTTTTTTATATGAAAAAAAAATAACTTTTTCGTCTGTCAGTATGCTCTGTTTTGGTTTCCCATGCTTGATTTCATGAAAAAAAAATTTTTGCTATCCGATTTTTTATCAAAAAAATAATAAAAATAGATTTATCAATGATCAAAATAATCGTTAGTTGCAGCCCTAAATGTGATTAGAAGCAGCTCCTGGTTATCAGCTGGGATGATCCTGCACAGTGTGACCAAACCTGAGGCCAGAAAATGAAAAGATTTGGAGTTTTTTATGGGAGATTATTGATTTTTCTGAGGTTATTTATGTCTATTTGTCTATGTTTGAATGTTACACTTAATCGTTTCAGAGGTATAAAAACTAAAACTGATCTAAAATCTAAACGTTAAGTCATAATTTTCATTGATCTCTGTATTTGTTTATTTGGTGGAGGCTTTTGTCTCTATTTATGTGAATTTAGTTTGGAAATTGGTGTTTTGTTTGGTTGATCTTAACTAGTCTCTTTTGTGTCTATTTGCTTGATTCATTTATTTTTTGTTTGTTTTTTTTCTTTTCTAATTGTCAGTAATAAATTCCTATTCATTCATTCATTCATAATAAACCCTGGAGCATAACAAAATGATATGCTTTTTTATTCTTAAAATGCCAAAAAAAACAAAAAAAACAACAGACATTTAAACCTTTCTGAGTGTATTTTGGGAGGTAATTACTACTAAAATACTACTTTTCTAGACAAAAGTAGTATTTTTCTAGACATAGTTTTCTCTATCATGGTTAATGGGAGAAATACAGAAACATGAAACATCACTAGAAAGGCAAGGACGTCCGAAAGAGAACGGTGAGGCTTGATAAATTAATTCTAAATAGTAAAAGAAGATTAGGGTGAACAAAACCTCCACTATGGACACAAATGAATGTTTTCCTCCATACCGATTTTGTGCAGGCTTATATGTGGTTTCCAGTAGGCATCCAGCAGTCTGGCCGTTTCCTCATATCGAATAAGAGTTTTTTCAAACTCTGAGAAGATTTCTTCAGCAGCAGCAGTTAATCTTTCTTTGATGAACTCTTTAAACTGCTGAGATTGATACATTATGTTACCGAAATATCAAACTGACCGACGGAAAAGACTTAGCGCATGCGCACAAGCTTCTTCATCCTACACCTATTGTTTAATGGCGGTATGAAAACAATTTAAAACGCCACTACCGCCACCTACTGGAAAGGAATGTAAACAGAAAAAAAAAGTAAAAAAAAAATGAAGGTCCTACCAAGCAAATTACGAATTACATTGTTTAAAAAAACTAAAAACATAACCTTATAGCGTTTACCTCTGTTTCTAAGTTTCAGAAATAATCAGCAAGTGTCAGGTTTTAGTTGTGGTTTGGGACCCAAATGCAGAGGCAGACAGCCTGAGGAGATTTCTGGGTAGTTTAATGGGGGCAAAAACAGTAACAAAGGCAGGGATCCAAAAATGCAACTAATAATTAAAGGCAAACCAGAACGGAGGAGACATCTGGGGAAAACCAAACACGAGGAGCCAGGGAGAGACGAGGAACATGGACAACAGCATGGGAGGACAGCAAAGACAAGGAACCAACAAAGAGTGAGAGCAGAGGGAGAGCATATATAGGAGAGAGAGACAAAGGGAGGGCTAACGAGCAGACAAGGAACAGGTGTGAGAGGAGACAACGAGGGAGCCAAGGGGAAAGGAACATACACACACACACACACACACACAAGATGGCAAAAGGGGACAACAGGAAAACATGAGAACTAATATAAATCTAGAAATACAACAAAACTGGAATTAAACCAATAAATCTAGAAAACAAGGAGCAAAGTAAAGAACAGCAGAACTAAGACCATGACAGTGCCCCCCACTTAAGGGCGGATCCCAGACGCCCTAAAATGTCCAGAAACAAAAAACAACCCACCCTGGGTGGGCGGAGGGGGAACCAGGAAGGAGGGCACGAAATACAAAACCAAACGCAGAGTCCAAACAAAACCAAAACAACCCACCCAAGGTGGGCGAGGGCAAACAAAGTCTCTGGAGGGCGGCCGTGTGGCCGGAGGCCAGGAAGAGTCTCTGGAGGGCGGCCGTGAGGCCGGAGGCCAGGAAGAGTCTCTGGAGGGCGGCCGTGAGGCCGGAGGCGAGGCAGAAGCTCAGGAGGACGGCGACGCCGTCTCAGACGAAGGAGGCTCTCTGGAGGGGGCCGGCGGCGACGCCGTCTCTGAAGGAGGAGGGCCCCAGGAGGGGGCCGGCGGCGACGCCGTCTCTGAAGGAGGAGGGCCCCAGGAGGGGGCCGGCGGCGACGCCGTCTCTGAAGGAGGAGGGCCCCAGGAGGGGGCCGGCGGCGACGTCGTCTCTGACGAAGGAGGGTCTCTGGAGGTCGCCGGCGGCGACGCCGTCTCTGACGAAGGAGGGTCTCTGGAGGTCGCCGGCGGCGACGCCGTCTCTGACGAAGGAGGGTCTCTGGAGGTCGCCGGCGGCGACGCCGTCTCTGACGAAGGAGGGTCTCTGGAGGTCGCCGGCGGCGACGCCGTCTCTGACGGAGGAGGGCCTCTGGAGGACGGAGGAGGGCCTCTGGAGGACACCGGCGACGCCGTCTCAGACGCAGCTGCCGGAACCTTGGGGCACGCCGTCTCAGACGCAGCTGCCGGAACCTTGGGGCACGCCGTCTCAGACGCAGCTGCCGGAACCTCGGGGCACGCCGTCTCAGACGCAGCTGCCGGAACCTCGGGGCACGCCGTCTCAGACGCAGCTGCCGGAACCTCGGGGCACGCCGCCTCAGACGCAGCTGCCGGAACCTCGGGGGACGCCGCCTCAGACGCAGCTGCCGGAACCTCGGGGGACGCCGCCTCAGACGCAGCTGCCGGAACCTCGGGGGACGCCGCCTCAGACGCAGCTGCCGGAACCTTGGGGGACGCCGTCTCAGACGCAGCTGCAGGAACCTTGGGGGACGCCCTCTCAGACGCAGCTGCCGGAACCTTGGGGGACGCCGTCTCAGACGCAGCTGCAGGAACCTTGGGGGACGCCCTCTCAGACGCAGCTGCAGGAACCTTGGGGGCCGCCGACTGCGGCACAGGAACAGCCTCAGAGGGGGCCGCCGACAGCGGCACAGGAACAGCCTCAGAGGGGGCCGCCGACAGCGGCACAGGAACAGCCTCAGAGGGGGCCCGCTGAGGGGCCGTGGAGGCTTGGAGCGCCCGCTGAGGGGCCGTGGAGGCTTGGAGCGCCCGCTGAGGGGCCGTGGAGGCTTGGAGCGCCCGCTGAGGGGCCGTGGAGGCTTGGAGCGCCCGCTGAGGGGCCGTGGTTGGTTCCTATTGTCAGGTTTTAGTTGTGGTTTGGGACCCAAATGCAGAGGCAGACAGGCTGAGGAGATTTCTGGGTAGTTTAATGGGGGCAAAAACAGTAACAAAGGCAGGGATCCAAAAATGCAACTAATAATTAAAGGCAAACCAGAACGGAGGAGACATCTGGGGAAAACCAAACACGAGGAGCCAGGGAGAGACGAGGAACATGGACAACAGCATGGGAGGACAGCAAAGACAAGGAACCAACAAAGAGTGAGAGCAGAGGGAGAGCATATATAGGAGAGAGAGACAAAGGGAGGGCTAACGAGCAGACAAGGAACAGGTGTGAGAGGAGACAACGAGGGAGCCAAGGGGAAAGGAACATACACACACACACACACAAGAGGGCAAAAGGGGACAACAGGAAAACATGAGAACTAATATAAATCTAGAAATACAACAAAACTGGAATTAAACCAATAAATCTAGAAAACAAGGAGCAACGTAAAGAACAGCAGAACTAAGACCATGACAGCAAGGTCTAATAAGTTTTTTATACCATTAACGTTTTTATGAACTTTTTTTTTTATTCAAGTTTTTAAATATATATATATATATATATATATATATATATATATATATATGCTGTCCTCTGAAGGGAGTAGTACACACCGTTGTAGGAAATCTTAAATTTCTTAGCATTTTCTCGCATGGAATAGCCTTCATTTCTGAGAACAAGAATAGACTGTCGAGTTTCAGATGAAAGTTCTCTTTTTCTGGCCATTTTGAGCGTTTAATTGACCCCACTAATGTGATGCTCCAGAAACTCAATCTGCTCAAAGGAAGGTCAGTTTTGTAGCTTCTGTAACAAGCTTAACTGTTTTCAGATGTGTGAACATGATTGCACAAGGGTTTTCTAATCATCAATTAGCCTTTTGAGCCTATGAGCAAACACGTTGTACCATTAGAAAACTGGAGTGATAGTTGCTGGAAATGGGCCTCTATACACCTATGTAGATATTGCACCAAAAACCAGACATTTGCAGCTAGAATAGTCATTTACCACATTAGCAATGTATAGAGTTTATTTCTTTAAAGTTAAGACTAGTTTAAAGTTATCTTCATTGAAAAGTACAGTGTTTTTCTTTCAAAAATAAGGACATTTCAATGTGACCCCAAACTTTTGAACAGTAGTGTATATATGGTAAAATGGTAAATGGCATGTACTTATATAGCGCCTTTATTCAAGTTAGGAGACTTGACCAAAGCGCTTTACACTACATTCATTCACCCATTCACACACACACGGTGGCAAGCTATTGTAACCACAGCTGCCCTGGGGCTCACTGACAGAAGCGAGGCTGCCGTACACTGGCGCCGCCAGGCCCTCTGACCACCATCAGTAGACAATGCAGGTGAAGTGTCTTGCCCAAGGACACAACGACACTGAAAGTCGGAGTCTGGGCTTGAAGCGTCAATCCTTCGATTTCAGGGCAATACATATATATATATATATAGATGTTTAGTTCTGGCTGTCCATCATTTTTGTTTAAAGGTCCATATGTTTGAGGAACTGAATTTAACAAAACACAACAAGAATAAATAAATTAAAGCCTGATGTGAAGTTAAATTCTTTATTTCTGATAACTATATAATTTTCGACTAGCAGCCAACAAAATACCTCGTTAAAGGTTGTTATTTTTTTCACAAAAAGGTACTTTGGAATCTTCAGTTTTATATTTTTCCAGGTGGTCCCACCTTTTCGTCAAGCACCTTTACCTTAGTTTGACTCACGTTGGATTCTACAATGGGGAGATACCAGCATTTCTATGCTTTAGAGCTGGACGTCCTTGACACTGACCCTCTCTTCTCAAACCTTTTCCTAACATTTTTTTGTTTGCTTTTTGTTCCTTTTTTTTCTTTTTTTTTTAAGAATAATAAGAAGACAATTTTTTGTCTCTTTGCATACCTCAAATAAAGGTGAAACATCTCTTTCTGATTGATTAGGAACCTTAATATAAACTGTAGAAAGAGCCTGCTGTAGACCACACGATTGTATTATATCATCAGCTTTCGTTTCTATGACCCATTATCTTAGATAGTGTTAGTAGGTGAGGTCAAGGCACGCAACAACTTAAAAAAAAAAAACATGGTAGAACATCTTTTGTTTAGGCTTTAACAAGAGCACAAGGTGATGTTGCATGAGGTGATGTTAAACATGAGATTTTAAAATGCACAACATGATTTAATTGGCATGATATTCTTTTAATCATAGCCTATTTTAAATTGCCACCTTTTTGATAAATAACTTTTTAAGGAAAAGATTTCAATTATGCTTTTATTGCTTTTAGAATCTTTAAAATAGTGTCTTTGTTTTAAAGTGTGATGATGAACTAACTGAGATATAGAAAAATAATCTGGTGAAGGAGTCCAATACTGTTTATTTTTCTTCTCTGCAAACGCTCTCTTTTGACTCCACACATTCCTGCCAATAACATTGTGTCCATCCTCACAAGGGCATGACGTAGGTTGGCACAGATTAGTCTAGATGCACTCATACTTACCAAAAGTACCATCTGACTTGAAATACTATTTCTGCAATTACAGGAGATTTTAAAAATGACTGCTGTAGCATTTACACTAAGTCACAGATCCGACAGCAAGTGAATGTTCAGACTTCAGCAATTATATAATTTTTTTCTGCCAACAATATATTGCCAATTTTTTCTAAACTGTCAGAAAATGTGACCCTGGACTCAAACTTTACTTATTTTCTTGCTCAGAAAATGCATATTGCTATGGTCTTTGTAAACCAGCATTAAAATGTCGAGATTACTAGCTCTAACAAGGAAGAAATC